GGACAAAGACCGGGGGTCGACTCTGCTTTGGGCTACTAGCCCCCTAGTCGATCTTGTTTGCGCAAGCAATAAATTTAAAATGGACCCAGCTTGAGTGTGTGACTCTCTCCTTGAGGTCAATCGGAAAAGCCTCCAGGGGCATGAAACTAGCCGTTTGGGCAACACCTGTGGATGCACGATAGGGTCTGGTTAGCCCTGCTGACCGTGACCTCGCATTGTCGGCCCATGCTCATCTTGGAGTCAATGATGACTCCAACATCCCTTTCTGCCTCCGTGCTTTCAAGAAGGGAGTTTCCCATCTTATAAGCATGCTGCCGGTTACTACTGCCCAAGTGCAGCACCCTGCACTTGTCCGTATTGAAATGCATCCTGTTTTTGTTAGCCTACCCTTGCAACCTGTCCAGGTCTTTCTGCAGTCTTTCCCTCCCTACTAGCATGCCCACCTCACCCCAAATTTTGGTATCATCAGCAAATTTGAACAGGTTGCTTTTCACCTCGTCGTCCAAATCGCTGATAAAGAAATTGAACAGTACGGGCCCAAGGACCGAGCCCTGGGGGCATGTCTCACCTGCCTCTGGACCTGGGCTTGGCAAGGACCCACCCGTCCTCCTAGTTTGTCATGAGGTTCAACCATGGGGAGCTGGGGTCCCAGGAAGCTGCTGGAAGCACCCTGCTGGTGCGAGGCTGGGGAGGGGCGTCCCACAGGCTGAGCCAGAGCAGCTCCACGTGGGCCAGGCCAAGGGTTGCCATACTGATTAATTGTTTAACTGTTGTAATTACAACAGGTTAAACAGATATTTTAAAATTGGTATTTACATCCCTAGTGCTGTTGTGTCACACCAGTGACACTAATTATTTCTGAATCATCCTTTAAGCATGAGAGATGCTGTGCTTACTTGTTTATTCCCATGCAACATAAGAAGTAACACACAGAAGCACAGAAGACTTGAAGTGAACTTGTACACAGTGTATTTTCATCTTGCTGTTTATTATTTACATCATGAAAGTGCCCACAAAGTTAGGCACCTGGCAAACACACAAGGCCATTGCCATTTCTTTGAGGTGTTTAAACATCAGAATAATATTTAGGCACCTGCAAAATAAAACATTTAGATGTTCTGAAATTGATTTTTCTTTTTGGAATTTTTCACAGGCAAACTTTTTGTGAATTCAACTTTTTGTCCTGATTTGGGGAAACAAAAAAAATTCAAAATGTCAGAGACAGAAAAAGCCAAATCTGTATCAAATTGTGGACTGCTTTGTTTGTAACTATTTTTGTAACCTCTTTCACATTTGTGAGCTAACTGCCATTTAGTGTTCTGTGTTGAGCAGCTAGCCTGACCTGGGCAAGGCTGTTGTCTTCAGGACACTGTCCTGCCAGAAAGGACCATTACTGAGAGTCCTAATGGTGTGTTAGGAGTTCTGCAAAATGTGACTCTGGCAATCCTGATCAAACCATGGACCACACAACAACACTCTGCCCTCTATGCAAATTTGACAGTGACATAGCAGAGATACATTCTCTTTCCTCGAGAGCATTAGGCTGGTTAACTAACTTTAAACTAGACTTATAAGTGTTGCTCCAAGTCAACCATACGAAAGAAGAAGAATGAGAGTGCCATCAAGGGCTTCTAATGATGCTTGATGACTACCATCCTCAAGAGACAAAGATGTACTTCATCTGTGATACTGCATGGCTGAGGACAGGAGTTTTCCAGTGTGAGTACATAGGAAAAGAAGTTAGAGATTGTATTTTTAACGGAAGGATGCTCTCCTTGGAGTGCGTACTGCCACAAGAGAAGTGAAAACAGTTGGGATTTGTTTAGCCCTTAACGGTGACCAAGCTCTGGACTCATAGATGATAAAGGTAAGGAGAAGAGGGGGTGGGTCCAGGCTCTGTTATTTTGAAGAGGTCTGTAACTTTCCAGTACTTTTTGAAGAGCAAATATGGCTATAGTTAAGAAACTCCACATTATCTGTGAAGAGGGGAGAAGTTGGGACCAGTCTTTTTGTAACCAGATTTAATCTATACAGCTTCCTCTTCTGGAATTTTACACAAGGATATTACAGTTTATTTAATTACACTCACCTTCAAAATGGATAAATAATAGCTATAACTCAGTATTACTTGCTTGTGAACCATTGTATTTATCATCCCCTCTTTTTTATACTATCTTCTGTAAAACCTGGCTGCAAGTCTAGGGGCCCAGACACCAGGGGCTGAGGGGGCCTAGAGCCCGTGAGGATGACACTGGGGGCCTGAGGTTGCCCAGACACCAGGGGCCAAGATGGACCATTGCCCGCAAGGGTGACACTGAGGCCAAGGAGGCCCAGACACCAGGGGCCAAGGCAGCCCAGAACCTGCAAGGGTGACACCGGGCGCTGAGGAGCCCAAGAGCTTATGAAGGTAACACTGGCGGCCAAAGAGCCCTAGAGCCTGTAAGCCTGAAACCAGGGGCTGAGGGGCCCCAGAGCCTGCAAAGGCAAGACCAGGAAACAAGTGGGGCCAGAGCCTGTGACAGTGAACTGGGAGCCAAGGTGGCCCAGACACCAGGGGTCAAGGGGGCCCAGAGCCCCTGAAGGTGGCACTGGGGGCTGAAGGGGCCAAGTGCCTGCAAGGGTGACACCAAGACCAAGGGGGGTCAGACACCAGGGGCCTGAGGTGGCCCAGAGTCTGCAAGGACAAAACCAAGGCCTGAGAGGGCCCAGAACCCATAAGGTTGAGATCAGGGGCCGAAGGGGCTCAGAGCCCTGGAGGCAAGACTGAGGGCCAAGGGGGCCCAGAGTCTGCAGAAGCTATATTGGAGGCCAGCCTGCACACAGCTTTCAAGGGTGAGACCAGGGGACAAGGGGGTCCAGACACCAGAGCCTGCAAGGATGACACCAAGAGCCAAGATGGCCAAGACATTGGGAGCTTAGGGGATCCAGAGGCTGCAAGTACAGGTGCTGATTTTCTTTTGCTGGTGGTGCTTGTGAGCATAACCCCCCCCCCGCCCCCCAAACCCCAAACAAAACAAAAACAACAACCTGGCACTGAGTCCTGTGCATGCCCAGAAGAGGCAGCACATTATTTCTACCTGGTTCTGCAGCATCTGTAAAGATTGGATGCTTTAGCGGGGCTTTTTGGCACTTTTATCTAATAGCTGATTGAATCAGCTTTAGTTAAAAGTGTCAAAAGCCCTTCTGAAGCTCCCAATTTTTACAGATGCTTCAGAGCCGGATTGAAATGGTAAAGCATGTTTGTTTTTTTTTAACATCTGCAAGTGGCTCCATGGGTGCTGAGCACCTGCTAATTGTTTTTGGTGGATGCTTGAGCCCCAGAGCACCCGCAAGGTCTATGCCTATGCCTATGCCTGCAAGGGTGAAACCAGGGGCTGAGGGGGCCTAGAGCCTGTGAGGGCAACCCCAGGGGCCAAGGAACCACAGAGCCCAAAAGGACAAGACCAGAGACCAAGGGGTTCAGAGCCCAGCAGGGACTGAGGGGCCCAGAGCCTGGCAGAGGGTGAGACCAGGGGTTGAGGTGCCCAGAGCCCATATGGGGTGAAACTAAGGGCCAAGGGGGCCCAGAGCCTTCAAGGGCAACACTGGAGGCCACCTGGCCCAGAGCTTGTGAGGGTGAGACCAGGGGTCTAGCAGCCTAGACACCAGGGACTGAAGGGATCCAGAAACCGCAAGTACAAAATCAGGGGCTGAGGCAGCCCAGACACCAGGGGCCAAGAGGACCCAGTGCCTGTAAGGATGAAACCAGGGGGTGAGGGGGCAGAGCCCATGAGGGTGAGACCCAGGCGGCTGGTGAACTCAGACTGGTGGGGCAGGTGGAGTGGGGCACGGGAGTGGTTGGGGGGGGGAGCAGTTTTGCAGCCAGCCAGGAGCGGGGGGGAAGGGGGCGTGGTTTGCAGCTGGCTGGGCATTCTGGTCAGGAGCGGGGAGGGTGCAAACCCCCCCACTCCTGGACAGCTGCAAATGTCCCCATCCCCCCCCGCTCCCGTGTGCTGCTCTGCCTACCCTGCCAGTCTGAGTCCACAGCTGTGCCTGATGAGACCAGGAGCTGAGGGGCTCAGAGTCCAGCAGAGGGTGAGACCTGGGGCTGAGGACCTAGGGTCCCAGTACAGTGGACTTTTGCCAGAGAGACACAGCTAGAGTAAAGTGGGCCAAGGCCAGGGGGCCTCAGTCCAGACAATGGCCTAAGACCAGAATCAAAACCCCTCTGCCCTTTAGGGGCAGCCTCCTTTTTGAACCATAACATCAAGGTGTGGCAGATGAGACAACAGGGTGGGACTGTCAGAGGCCAGAGCGGGCAAGAAAGGTGGGACCCAGGCCACCGCAAGGGGTGACTTGGCCACCCTAGCACCAGACCTGCTACATAGTAACAATAATAGAAACAATACTTGGCACTTCTCCAGCACTTTTCTTTCATGGATCTCCAGGTATTAATTAACATAGACTCACAATATTCCTGTTAGATAGGTGAACATTATCATTTCCACTTCAAATGGGAAAATAGTGGCAGCGAGAAAGTAAAAGTCTTTCCAGAGATGTGTCTGGGTTCAGCAAATCACATACGCATTTCTTGAAGTCCCACTGATTGTATCTACTGAAGTCAATGGGAGCATTGGACTTTTGGATGGTGCCTTTCATTGCAAATGTTAAGCTGACTTGGGGCCTTAAAGGTCAGGTCTCTGGCAAGCTGATAAAGTCTGGCACATACTCTAAAGGGCCATTAATCTAAGGAAGCAGCTCGTGTCATCAGCTGAACTACAGGATCTTGGTTTGGGAGCTGCTGGAATACTCTGAAAAAGTTTGTCCATGTCAAAAATAGAGCTGGTATATCAAACACAAAGAAAAACTAGCTCCAGCTAGAGAAAAGGCTTCCATCCCAGAAGGGGTGGCTGTGCTTAGTTTTAGAGTAAATGTATTAATCAAAAATGATGTAATAACTTATTAAAGACAAACTTCCCCAAAACAGAAAGTAATTGCTGATTATCTAATGTCTGCTTATCATTCCAATCATGTTGTCACTGTTCATAATACCTGCAAAGAAATAAAACATGGTGCATCAGTAAGTGTTCTTTGCTGGCAAAAGAAATCTTAATTAGGATTACGAAGGGACTAAAGGTAGAAGATCTGCCTGGGGATTCTGTCCTTCCCTCAGTCCACTTTAAAACCAAATGCCACTGATGACGTGTAGGGGGGGCATGTGGGTGCATGTGCACCCCCTGAGATCAGCCGTGCACCCCCTGGAAGCACCAGCTGCGAAACCAGAAGTGCCACCAGAAGTGTACTTCCAGTTTCACTGCTGGCTCGGCAATTGAGGTATGGAGCCCTGTTGGACATGTGTCGGGGGCAGGTGGTACGTGATGGCTGCATTAACTTCCATCGCTCCCTGGTGCCGCTTGCCCTGCCACTGCCTGGCTCAGATCCTTCCCACAAGGGGTCCCTGTGGCAGAAAGTCACCTTTGTCTCTCCCCAAAGTCTCGGCTCCGTGACAATTTGATAAGGATGGGCCCAGCAGAGAGAGACATCCTTACCCTATCTCTTTAGGTAACCTGAACTGGATACATTCCTGAGGGAGGGGGGAAACCTGCTGTCTCTGCCTACGTGACTGGCATCACATACCTGGGTGAGGGGCTTCCTTCCTGGTGGGCTAGAGTCTGCCCAGCAACTAGTGATGTATTTCAAATTGGTTGGCTCACAGCCAACAGGTGCTGGCTTCCAGTGGACCAGGTAAATGAGGTCACAAGGGCTATATAAGTTAAGGACTGCCCGGGAGGAGGGGGCAGCAGCCATGAGGGAGACTCAGGAACAAAGAAGAGCAGTACTATCTGAAACTTGCTCTATCTCTCAAAACTCATGATCAAGGAACTGCCTGCCTCCAGAGGGAATCTCCACCTGCCTCTGGATGATACTTGTGAGTAAGCTAACTGAGATCCAACTAGATATATAGCTTGCAGTAACTCAGATGTGAGAACAAAGGCTACCCCAGCCACAAGAGTTTGCTTTATGGGATTTCTCTGATAGTGCTCTACCGTGTACCCTATTCTAACCCTACGCTCTGTAACCAATAAAGTTCTCCTTTGTGACTGGTAGGAGACTTATTGTAGGAGACTTATTGAGGGGTGGGTTTAATTATGCCTAGGAGGCCCCCTGGGTCTGCAGACTAAAGGAGACTATTCTTTTTGGCCCCCAGCTTGGGGAAGTGCCCCAAGTTCTTGTATTGGGTCGAGTACGTATAGGACTATTAGGCCTGTGTTTCCCTGAGGACACAGGACCCAGACAGTCCCTTCTCAGGATGGTGGCAGCACGTGTTACCCCCGGCCTCTGCGGTGGGGCTCGAAAGGGGGTCTGCCAGGGCTTAGGTGCCCCTGGAGGGACACGTGGAGTCCGGAAGGTGGACGGGCATAGTGAGGTGGGAGGCTCAATCCAGGAGCTCCCCCTACTGGCCCGCCACAGTCCCATGGTCCACTGCTCCCTGATCAACATTTTGGGACTGGAAGCCCCACCCCGAACACCTTACTTTTGCCACCAGAAGTCCCTCCCCTTGCCCCCCCCAAATACTCTCTTTGGGAGGGGGATTTCCCATCTTGCCCCCCCCAATCAATTCATATACTAAAAATCAAACATCTACTATAACATATTTTAATTTAATTTCAAAAAATATTTTTCTCCTGGTTTACATGTGTTTGCATAGTGTATACAGAAATGATTGCATAATAACTTAAAATTAAGTCTTATTCTTATTAAAATAAAGTCTTGTTCTTGTATATTGTGTGTGGGAGGTGTGTGGGGGGGATGTGTATGGCAGGAGTTCTTAAACTTTGTGATACCATGACCCTAAGTGCTGGATGGCGTTGGCAGGGGACAGGGAGCTCACACGTGGCATCCACTGCTGCCATACAGCACTCCATGCCACCACCGTGTGCCGCTTCCCTGTGCTGCCACGCATTCCCCCGGGAAGTTTGTGATCCCCTTTTAAGTTGCTTATAACCCCCTGGGGGTTGCAACCCACAGTTTGAGAACCCCTGGTGTATGGGGTTTGTGAAGGGGTGTGGGTGTGTGGGAGGTTTGTGGGCAGGCGTAGGTCTCCCCTGCTACATGCCCACCCCCCCTAATGGTGCACAGCCCTTGCCAGGGGTGGCAGCAGCAGCAGCGGTAGCAGGCGGGCCTTCAGGGAGCTCATGACCTGCAGCAGGCAGAGCCCGCCAGTGATCTGTGGCTCCAACTGAGTCCTGGGAGCTGCACATGGTGACATTGAGCTTGCCTGGCTCAATGGTTCATGACTCCTTGTGGCTGCCAGTTCATGCACCATTATGCTGGTTCGGCTCCATGCTGCCATGTGCGGTTCCCAGCTCTCCCTCCAGAAACTGCATCACCAGGCCGGCTGGGCTGGCTCCTTGCCAGCATGTGGGGCTGCTGGCACTGCAGCTGAGAATGTGCACTGCCTGGCTGGGCTGAGCTGGCTCCATGCCTCCATGTGCAGCTCCCTGCTGGATTGCTGAAAGTCCCATGTGGAGACACAGAGCTGGCCCAGTCTGGCCTGATGGCATGTGGCCCCTGCCTGCAGTGCCAGGAGCCCCACATGATGGCACGGAGCCAGCCCAGTCTGGCTTGAAGGCGCACACCATTGGGCTGGGCAGGCTCCATACCACGAACTGCAGCTCCCAGGACTCAGCCAGAGTCATGTGCTGCCAGGAGGCTCTGCCTGTTGCAGGCCATGAGGGCTCCGAGGGCTTGCCACCTGCTACTGCTGCTGCTGGCAGCAGGAGCTGTGCACCATTGTGGTGCGGGGGCCCACACGCACCCATAAACCCAGCACCCATCCACACTCACCCCCACAAACCGCACACCCACCCATATACAACCCCACAAACCCCACACCCACCCACCCACATGTGTGTCATCAGGAGGGGCAGGCTCTGTACCACCACGTGTGGCTCCTGGCTCTCCTTCCAGGAGCTGTGTGCTATCAGGCTGGTTGAGCTGGCTCTGTGCCTCCATGTTGGGCTCCCAGCACTGCAGGCAGGAGCCCCCCTCCCCACTCACCAGCTGTCCAGTCACATGCCATCATGCTTGGTGCTTCCATGTGGGGCTCTCAGCTGGAGTGCTGGGAGCCCCACAGAGGTAGAGGCACAGAGCCTGCCCGGTCTTATGGTGCGTGACCTCTGAAAGCCTGCCTCCCACTGGCTTTCAGAGAGGCAGCCACAGGCTGCTAACAGTATTGCCAACCCCACTGTGTCAAAAATCATGAGATAAACTCTTAAAAATCAAGAGACTTGGAATGTAAATTATGAGATGCTATTTTTGAAGTATGTGTGCATGATTCCTGGGGCAAAGGCAGCAGGGCACAAAGCCCCAGCCTGCAGAGGGCAGCCCACCTCTGCCCTGCACACAAATCTGGGGGGCATGTGCCTCCCATGCCTCCTCCGGCCCCGGGGCCTCTTTCACCTCAGCCCCTGCCCCACTCTCTCCCTCACCACGGGGGCCTCAATTCCCGCCCCAAACCCCTTCCCCTCCACAGACTTACCAGCTTGGTGCTCTCTACCTGCACCGGAAGAAAAAATCCTGAGATTTGATCCATCAGGAGATCATGAGTCAGAATTAATTTGACTTGGAAATCAGGAGTCTCGTGATTTTTTCATGAGAGTTGGCATTACTGTGGTAATAATTGTCTTGGAGGGGACCTGCGGGCTGGGTAGAATGGCCTGGCAGGTCAGATCTGGCCATGAGCTGTATTTTGCCCACCCCTGCTCCAAGGGCACAGCTTTAACATTCAGAGACCTCAGGTAAGGTTTGGATATGCAATCAGTTTCCTCTGCTCATCTGAGCCAAGTTGGGCCTCTTGCATTTTGTATAGGTTTATTATTACCTTCCCAATGGAACAAGAAAGCAAAAGGACTATCACGGAGGGATCTTTTCACCAGGTGAGGAAAATAAAATCTTAACCAATTATCTAAAGCATGAGGCTTGAAAGACAAACCTTTTCTGAAGTGGGGTAGCTCAGACTGTTGTTCATGTTTATGTTCTTCATGGAAATCAGAGTGACGCTGCTGTTCTTCCGGTTTGTAGCAGCTGAGCAACTGAAAAATGAGAAAATATGTACCATTTAATTTTTTTGGAAAGATTAGAGTACTGGTTTTAAGAGAAGGGGTTTCTCTTCACACACAGTTACAGTCACATGGAGAGGCTGAGAACTGGGTTGCTGATCATCCCAAGACTAGACTGAAGTCTTTTTGTTTCCATTACTAGTTTCATTTCCATGCAACTGACAAGAGATGGGCTAAGCCACAGAATTCACATCCAGATCTAGCACTGCCCACCCTTCTGGTGAGGAGCTTCTGGAGTCACTGATCCGGTTTGCATCCATAAGAAATAGTCTGTGCTATGGCATTTGGACCTGAATGTGGCTTTATTATTTTGGTCTGGGCCCAGCCCTATTATAACTTAAAACTATTTTTATCTACTGTCTACTCAGTGTTCTTTAGAAAATTAGCTGTGGTTTCAGACTGATTCCTAAGTAGAGAAGAGTTCATGTCACAGAAACTCATCACAGTTAGCACCAGAGGCAGCAAAAGCAATGGAGAAGTTAAGGACAGCACGGGAAGAGGGCCTCAGCTACAATCAGCTAGTAGCCTTTCAACTTCAGGGTTGAAACTAACTAAAGGGAATCCAGCACTGACTAATGCTTCTGCTGTGTATTCCTTTTTTACCCTTTGTCTTCCTAATTTCCAGTTATTTACTTTTTCACAGACTGCCTCTTTTCTACCTTGCAGAACTCAACTACAGTAGTCTCCCTTAATTATTCTCTTCCCTTAGACAGAGTGACTAACAGAAAAAAATAAGTCTATGGTAGTAGGTATCTCTGTTCCTTCTTAACAGGCTACAAAGAAAGATGTGGTTACCTTACCTTTCAGATACCACAGGGTCCTCTGGTTTCTGTTTATCTGAGAAAAAAACAGATTGGTCACAAGTGAAAAAAAATTCTATCATAACAAATTAATTGGCAAAGTTAAGTTTATTTAATGACCAGAAAATGTTTCATAAATAGATATAAAGATATAGATATAAAGAGTCTAAAACCACTTGCCAAATATTCCATGGCTGTCTCAAAACTTACTACAAAGTTCAGTTAGCAGACTATTGTACTCATATTTGCATAGCTTGTTTTTCAAAGCTTTTTTACTAATATCAAGTATACCTTCACTACTATGGCTGCTTTGCCCTCAAGTGGAGACTGCCTGAATTGGAAATAGTTTCCACCAGGAAACCTCAATGCAAATTCAATGCAGAAATCCATGTTACTGTGATGTGGGTGAGAAGTTCAAACTGATGAACACTCAATTGAGATAGCTATAGCACTCTAAATTTTGCTCCCTTGTATGTATCTATCAGGACTATATCAACTTATAATCACATTGATTCATGTTTTATTTTACAAAGGTAAAATATCTGCCCTTGGTTTAAAAAGACAAAATCATTTTTAATATGCATATTAAGCTCATTCTTCCATCTTTTACAGAAAAATAGTATTTGTCAAATTAGAAATTATGGGGCAAGAAATAGTTCCAGGATATGGTCAAGCATGATCTGAATAGGCCCAGTTACAAAGCCCATCTGTGATTGAAACCATCAACCTGGAACAGAAATGTCATTTAGCCCTAAAGACAGCTTGACTCTAATGCACCTGGAAAGACTATAACCAAATAAGAATACACAATTACCTTCTGCATCTTTGGAATGGTTACACCTGAATCTCAGGTAGACCACACCAACCAGGATGAACACAACAACTACCAGAATGCCTATGAAGCCGATGACACCTGATCAATGGAGAAAAATGCCATTAGTCAACAGTATTGTCATATGTGCATCTTTGGGAAAATCCAGAAGGAAGACTCCTAGGGCATTTATACACATACCTTTTCATTCCGCGACATGCTGAAGATCCGGTGGGTTGGAGCAGACTCGATTAATGTGCTCTGCACGCGAGCTGATGTTCAGTTGTATAAGTAGCAAAATGCATGTCAGCGTGCGGAAAATGGTGGTGGTTTGCTTTTAAACTAAAGCACCTTCAGGGTGTTTTAGTTCAAAAGCACACCGCCACCATTTTTTCAGCACTGATGCACATTTTGCCACTTATACAACTGCATGCACTGCAGCACCAGGCGCTTTTAAAAGCTCCCGGGACTGAGGAGTGAGCATGTGTACAAATGCTCCTATTGACTTATATAAATGTTGGATTAGATCTTTAAAAGGAAATAGTAAGCAGATTTTTATTTTTGTTGAAAATTACCAAAAAGGTATTGACCAAAGAAATATATATTGACTGAAATAAGCAACTCCCTGTTCTCTGGATGAATTTGGGCTAATAGTCCCATGTCAGGAAGTTATGAAATTTCTTCAATATGGCTATTTTTCATAAAGACTTCTAGACTGATATTGAGAAGAGGAAATAATAGGGGCTTGAATAAACAGTTATCCACCTCGGATAATTCAATCACTGAATACAAATTTGGATATGAAATTTCACAGATTCAGAGGGAAAAACTGTATGTCATCTATGAGGATTCAGAATGTGCTTATTTGCATACGTGACCTGACTGGTTAATTCTGCTCCAGAACTCCTTATTGCTCACTGCTGAGGTCATAAACAGCAGAAACTCACCAAGTCCCCACTCGCCCACCAGCCATCCCTGAGCAAAGATTTTCCTACAATTCAGTATAAAGAAGCAGATGATTTTTGTCTTTTTCTCGATGTGGGAGAAAATGGAGACTACCAATACATTTTGCTTGTTGCTCAATGCTGTTCATGGTAAGAGCCGTGGGAGGCCCAGTGATTGGCATCTTAAGCTCAATCCTCAACATTAACAGAATTGCAGTGGAGAGTTACAGCTCCCTGTGCCTCATCTCTGCCTGGCAGAAGGTAAGCCGTGAGAGGGTAGAAGGAACCCATCCATTTTCCACCAAACAGGGTGTTAGAACATACGAGTGTACAGCATACAGTAACAACGTAGGGCAGGGGCTGAAAGCCCAACCAGGTTCTCAGAGAACATAAAGGATACTCAAAATGCAGCTCCTTGGCAGTGTGGGGGCAGGCAGAACTCCACAGGGCTGGGTTTTTGCCCAAGTTGCCGGTTTTCTGTATATGAAAAGCTAGTTTGTTTGCTTTTCTTGTGCTCTGAAGGAGTCCAAAATCAGGTGTGCTGAGAATGAAAGCTTTGGAGCCACCTGCCCTGATGAACCTAGATCTCCAAAGAGCAGTGGCCTGGGAATAAACCAAGTACATCACCCAGCTCCCTCTCAGAGTCCTCAAAAGGCATCCCCTTACCAAAAGCTACTATCTCCAGTCCTGACTTCTCAGTAGGAGTGATGGCTGAGGGAGATATCATTGTGTTCTCTGCAGAGATCGCTTCCTTATGGGCCTCTGAAATGACTGTAAAAAAAAATTCTGTATCAATTCTATCTTTTGAGACTCTGAGGAGAAGGTGATTCCTTGGCCACTTGAGCAAGGAATAGCACTTTAGCTTTACTGAAGAGAAATACAGCGAAGTTTGAACCTGTCCCAGTTGAAGTCAAAGAAAGGTACTGCCTTAAGTGACAGCAGGATTAGGACCATATTTTAATATCTGTACCCTTTTCATCAAATGGTCTATATGAGGTGTGATTGTTCACAATCCCACCACAGGATTTGATCTAGTGTACAGAGGGAGAAGCTGGGACAGGAAGACTAAGGTTTGTCAGCAGCTGTGCCAAAAAGGGTCTTCTCAATTCCCATTTATAGATCTCGCTCCTCGAACCAGCTCTTCTGCCAAAATCATCAACCACTCATTCAATTTTGAACAGCTCATCCAAAAGAAATGCACCCCTGTGAGGTTTTCAGGCTTTACAGAGAGCCTATGGAAACTATCAATAACCATAGTTGGCACACTAGTTAACACCTGACACTGCTTCCTGCCTCTGTTTCTGGCAATTGCTTTTGAGAAGCGGAAGTTCGATGAGCTTTAGTTCAAGCACTCCCACTGCCATTTTGAATCATGGGGACACTGATACATGAGATGTGGGAGGCTGCAGGAGCGCAGTAATTGCCATGCTCAATAATCAAGTCTGCTCTGAGATGCTCTAATTATAGTGCAATGGAGCAGCCTCTCAGCATATCTACAGGCACCTGGAGCTACTAGATTTAATGTGCATTAACTAAAGTATATTAATGCACATGTAGACACACCCAGTATGTCGCTTCCACTTCCCTTGAACTGTGGACCTAGATGTGGAAAACATGGGTCAGGAGACTTGTCAACAGGATAGCATAAAGCAGTGTAAGGAATTAGAAAACAAGTGGAGGGAACTGTTGGATTTCTCTAATCAGGGAGGCACCAATTGGGAAAGAGCTAGGACTCAGTCTAACTTCTGAACTGGAGTCTTTCCACTGACATCAGTGAAAGCTCAAATGGGCCTTTATTCAGGCCAGGCTGTCAGAGCTTGCTACAGGGGTTTTGTCTAGCTGCAGAATTGGGTCTTAGGTCAGAAGGGTGGCAAGAACCTTTCCAAGACATTACAGAAGCTCAAATCAGATCAGGCAAGTCATCAGGCACTCAAGCCCAGCTCAGCCAGGCCAGGTTGGCTGGATTTGGTCATCTGGTCTACTGGCTGCCAGAATGGTACTAAAGGTTATTTCAGGTGATACTGATAGCTTGGGCCACTATTAAGATTACCTGGACCATGGGAATGAAGGACTATAGTATTAATGATTTTTTGTTTAAATTATAAGCTCATAATCAGTGTAATATATTAAAGGACTCAACACCTGAAATTGGTGAAACTGTGGAGCATCCATCTCCTTTGGATTTTGGACGGATAAGAGAAAGGAGAGGAGATGTGTCAATAGGATAGTTTGTTTGTTTTCCCTAACCATGGAAACACCCAGTAAAGCAGTTTGCTTTTAGATGGTACAACCACCCTGTTAAAAACACACCCCACACTCACAACCCCCTTCATGCCTGCGAAGTAGGTAGATACTTCAAGAAAGCAAGGAATTAAATATTCCCATGTGTTTGCTCAGACAGTTTCCAGCAAGGGAGAAGTAATTTCCTAGAAGTGAGAGTAATTAAACATGTGAACAACTTCTAATTGCCTGGCTGGACTCCCCATCACTCAGGGGCTTTAAATGAGATTAGAGATGTTTCTAAAAGAAAAATTTTAATCCACTTTCTGGGGGTGCTTGTACACATGACATCACTACCATGTACATGAGATGCAAATGTAATTTTGTGTGACTTAATGGCATCACACTGTACACATGCAAGAGTCTGGGGGGGTTTAAATGAGTTGGCATCATTGCAATCTAAACTACATCCCAATACAGTTTAGTTTCCAACCTTGCAAATTGCAACAATGCAGCTGTCAGCTCACCCCCTGGCCATGGGAGAGGGGGTAGGCTCTGCTGGGGGGGAGCGGGGGTGGGATCAGGCCCCTCACCACTTCTGTCTTCAGCAGGCTCCTGTGGGTGGCAGGATGCCTGAGGCCACCTGGGAATGGGCTGGCTTTCCCCTGGAGCAGTGCAGGAAGGCGATAGGAGGGTGGCTGGGTTTGCTGGTGGCCAAAGAAGGTGGCAGGGGAGGTACATGGGGCACTGGAAGCCCGGGTGGGCTGCTAGCTGGCTGGGTACTGCCCCAGCTCAGAGGCACCTGATCCAAAACTTCCCCAACCTCACCTGGGTTTCCAGAGCCCTGTGCACCGTCCCCACTACCTTCTCCAGCTGACAGCACACCCAGCTGCCCTCCTGCCACCTCCCAGCCCAAATGTCTATGAATCTATGAATCATGAATCTATGAATTTGTGGCACACCTTCCAAAAAGTTAGGTCCTTGCTGTTCTACAGCTTGCCCCCTCTAGTGACTATAGATAAGAGAACACACAGAGGATTTCTGCAGCAGTTAAACAGTTTGATAACCCAAAGAAAGGTTGTTCAGAAGTGTCTGTCATCCGTATAATCCTGATACCAGTTACACTGTTTCAAGACTGTTCTACCCTGACTGAAAATATGTTGCCCTGAAATCTTTTTCCTGGAAAATGTGGCTTCATTAAAATGAAACTCCCCAGGGGTTAAGGACAGTTGCAATGCTATTTTTTTTACTTTCTCAAATTGACAAGTTGACCCTAGCCATTTCTGTTCGAATCTTCCTTTTATTTTAGTTGACAATTCCAGTTGACAATTCCCATGGACAGGAAGTCAGCAGGGTTCATAGGATCCCAGCAAGATAAACATTCAAGTGTTTCTTGAAGGTGTTCAATGTGGGTGTTTGAACCACCTCCAGCGGCAGTCTATTCCAAATCTTGGGGGCTCGGACAGTAAAGAAGTTCTTCCTTATGTCCAGCCTGAATCGGTCGCAGAGCAGTTTATCACCGTTCGATCTTGTCATCCCTTGGGGCACTCTGGGAAATAGTCATTCCCCCAGGTCCTGGTGAACACCCTGATAAACTTATAGGTGGCTACCAGATTGCCCCTGAGCCTGTGCTTTTCCAGGCTGAAGAGTCTCATGGCTCCCAGCCTCTCATCATAAGGTCTGTTTTCCTGACCTCTGATCATGTGTGTGGCTCTCCTCTGCACTCTCGCAAGATTCTCCACATCCTTTTTTAATTGTGGAGCCCCAAACTGGACACAGTACTCCAGCTGCAGCCTCACCAAGGCCGAGTACAATGGGAGAATGACATCCTGGGATTTGCTTGAGAAGCATCTATGGATGCAAGCTTGGTTGCTTTACTAGCCACAGCATCACATTGAAGGCTTATGTTCATCTTGTGGTCAATCATGACCCCCAAGTCCCTTTCATCTGTAGTGCTAACCAGTGTGGCACTGCTGAGTCTGTAAGCATGCCGTGGGTTTTTTCTCCCAAGGTGGAGAACCTTACATTTTTTGGTGTTAAACGCCATTAAACAAATTAAGCCCTGCACCCACCTCCAATGCCACTCTGATCCCCTTTCCCTTCCTGATCCACAGCTCTGCTTTCTGCTCCCTGTCCTAGCTGCTGCCTGTCTCCTCCCCAATCTGCCATATGCCACTCCCAGAGACTGCCTGTGCCACTTGTGGTACATATGCCATGGTTGGCCACCCCTCTTATGTGAAGTCTTCCAGCTGTCTCTTTTCTATGTTACTCACTGAGCCTGTCTCAGGCACTTATTCTGCGGAAATGTTGGATCTCAGAGCATCAGGAGCCTGGAAGAATAACAGAATCAGTAGCAACACCATAGCTGCAACTGTATTGATTCTTTTTTAGATAAAGCAGGATTCAGATTAACATCAGACTCTGTGATAATATAAAACAGAAGGCACTCTTTGGAGCCCAGGCATTCTGTCTGGGCAAATACACAGAGAGAAAAAACTAAAAGTACCAGCCCAGCGTGTACTGCGATGTGCATAAATCTGGGGATGGATTATCTGGAAAGGAGAAGTAGATTCACTGTTCTGGTTGTTCTGACATCAGCGATTCAAATCCTTACTCAGGACTTCAGTGGAAGCTTGACTGGGCCTTTATTCTGTAAAAACTGTCAAGATCTCTACAGGTCTTTTGTTCAACTGCAGTACTGGGTCCTATGTCAGAGGGATGTCAAGAACCTTTCCAAAGCATTATACGGGCCATCTTGCTTTCCAAATTAAATCAGGCCATCAGGCACTCAAGCCAACCTCAGCCAGGTTGGCTTTGCTGGATTTGGTCATCTGGTTTATTGGCTACCAGAATGGTACCCCAGGTTATTTCAGATGTTACTGATAGCTTTATTTTAATTTAGGTTATTATTAAGATCACCTGGACCATGGACATGAAGGACTTCAGTTGCAATGATTTTTTGTTTGTAAATTATAAGCTCCTGGTCAGCACCTGAAGTGGGTGAGCTTGTGGTGTTCCCGCTTCCTGTGGCCTTTGGACCTGGATGAAGGAAACACAAGACAGGAGACTTGTTGTCAGTAGGATGGTTTGTAGCAATTTGAAGCAGTAGAGGACAAACTGCAGAGGACTGTTGGCTTTCTGAACAGTGAAGCTTTGCTTCAAAATGATCACCTGATTTGGGGTCAGAAAGTCCGCTTCTTACAAAACTGGTAGTGACCCTGCTTTATATACCTTCCTTTCTCAGCATGGAGGGTGAATTCCCTCCTATTTGGGTGTAGCTCAGGTAATCAATTCCCTCCTGGGGCCTCACTCATTGATGGTGCTTCACTCTCTCCTGGTCTCTGCTGGGGCACGCATCAGGATTGTTTTGTCAAGAGTGAAATGCTCTAGTCTATTTAAAGTTATTAGAGCTCGGTATAGGGGAAACTTGGAAAAGTGTAATGGCTGTTTGTACAGAGTAGATGATCTCGGGGGTCCTTCTGGCCACAAACAGTAAGGAATATGTGGCACTTACTGATGATTCACGGAGCATGTTTGTGTTCCTGACTGGTCAGAAGCTGAATGTCATCTTGCAAATAATGATGTTGGGTGGGATTTCCACAAGTGTCAATATGACTTAAAAGCTCTGTGACTTTCCATGAGCCTTGTACCCCTTATTCCTCTGGCGCTCATGAAAGTCCATCCCTTTTGCTTGCTAGATTAGCAGCCATTGCTCCCCTCTACAACAAAAGGTGTCTTGCAATTGCACAGCTGCAGGATCTGTTGTGCAATATGCAACTGAAGGTAACACATGAGTGTAGTCTGAATGTGACAGATATACTAGGCACAGAACTACAATTGGATTTTTAAAGATCTTTGGGAAAATTATATAAACCTTGTTACACAGAGCCTGCCTTTAGGTTTTACTCAGCTGTTTGCACTTCCTTAAGGCTCTTCAGAGGACTTTGTCTCTATAGCAGTAATTCTCACCCAGGGTGCTGTGATTCACAAGGTGAGCCCAAAGATTTCAAATAGGAATCCAGAATGTCAAAACATTCTGACATTTCTGAGTCCTTTGCCATAAACAAATAGCTCTACTATTTTCATGTAGTCAAAAATCAAGTGAAAGCTAAGAGCTGGTATTTTGCTCAGGAGGGCGAACAGGAGGGCCCGAGGCTCTGCCTGTGCGCCCTAGGGAAGGCAGTCCCAGCCACAGCCAGCCTACCAGCAGCATGCCACGGATGGGCACACGCTGCACCCTGAGGGTCCCCAAGGGATCTGCGATCCCACCCTCTGGCGTCTCAGAGGCTTCCACCCAGATGGAGCCCCTGGCTCTCGGCTGCAGGGGCTGCCTGTCACTTTTTCAGGCTCTGGGGCCCGGGAGCATGGTCACCTCCCCTTGTGAGGTCTGCTCTCTTTTGGGGTCTCTAGCGCATCAGCTGGAGGAGCTCCAGGCTGCAGTCCAGAGATTGCGTGCCATCAGGGACTGCGAGCAGGATATCGACTCCTACTGCCAGCCAAGGGGTTGGACCAAGTTGGTCAAGGGCCCCAAGGCCCGCCGCACCAAGGTCCCCACTCCTCTGTAGCTTTGCAACAGGTACAAAACTCTTGCAGCCACAGTAGAGCCTGCTAAGTTGCCAGCTCCTGCAGGCAATACAGGCTCTACTGTAGCCACCGCCCCTGCTCTCCCCAAGACCAAACGCAAAGTGTTTGTCATGGGAGACTCCATCCTGAGGAGGACTGAGGGGGCAATCTGTTGCCCCGACCCCTTAGCCCGGGAAGTTTGCTGCTTCCTGGCAGCCTGCATCTGAGACTTTGCGGAGAAGATCCCTTAGCTCCTCCAGCCCACTGACCACTATCCCATGCTCCTTATCCATGTGGGCACCAATGACACAGCTTGGCGCACTCCCAACCAGGTCATAAAGCACTACAGGGATTTGGGAGCAGGGCTAAAGGGTCTGGGGTCACAGGTGGTGTTTTCTTCGATCCTCCCAGTCTTGGGCTATGGGCTGAGGAGGGAGAGGAGGATCCAGATAGTAAACCAAAGACGGCGGTGTTGGTGTCATCGGGAGGGCTTTGGCTGCCATGAGTGAGCTGCTGGGAAGAGATGGCCTCCACCTCTCTCCCCTAGGGAGGAGGCTCTTCTCAGCCAGACTGGCTGGCCTGCTCCACTGGGCTTTAAACTAAGCCCGCCGGGGGATGGGGGGACTACTGCCACTGCTGGCCCACTGAGCAACCCTTGCAAAGCCAGCAGGCCAAGGCACTTAAGGGATCCCACCCCTGCCCCAGTCCTGGAGTGAGATGTAGGCAAGGCAAGGGCCCTCAAGGGGACACTTGTGTGCCTGTACACGAATGCCAGGAGCTTGGGGAATAAACAGGAGGAAATTGTCCTCCTGCTTAACACAAATAATTACAATGTCATAGGGATAATGGAGACCTGGTGGGACTCCACCCATGACTGGACCACAGGTATAGATGGCTATAACCTGTACAGGAGAGATCGAATGGACAAAAGGGGCAGGGGTGTAGCTCTCTATGTCAAGGAGAGCTACATGTCCCTGCAAGCCGCTGTTGGCAACCAGGGTGGACTGGAGACCCTCTGGGTGAAAATCCATGGGGAACACGGCACAGGGGACACAACGGTGGGAGTCTACTACAGACCTCCCAAAGTCAAGACCTTGACCAGGAGTTTGCCAGGGAATTGGCTGAAGCCGCGTGCTCCCGGTCCATGGTTGTCATGGGAGACTTCAACTACCCAGACATCTTGTGGGAAGAGTGCTCGGCTAAATCTGAGCGGTCGCAAAACTTTCTCTCATGCATGGATGAGCTCTATCTGACACAAGAAGTCTACGGGCCAATGAGAGGTAAAGCGCTGCTCAACCTGGTACTGGCAACCAGGGACGACCTAATCAGCGACCTAACGATCGATGGGAAGCTGGGTAACAGCGACCGCAAACTGATCAGGTTCACCATCTGCCATAAAGCTGGCAAGTCAGTCAGCAATACTGAAGTCCTTGACTTCAGGAAAGCTGAATTTGACAAGCTCAGGAGGCTTGTCAGTGAGGCCCTAAGGGACCATGACCCCAAGGGGAGGGGAGTTTAGGAAGAGTGGTTACTCCTCAAGGGAGCGATCCTCAATTAACAAGCTAATGCTATTCCCTCTCAGAGGAAAGGCAGCAAAAGGGCACAGCAGCCCCCTTGGCTCTCCTGGGACTAGCAGACCTCCTGTGGCTAAAAAGAAAGACCTACAAAGGATGGAGGAGGGGATCCACCTCTAAGGAGGAATATTCCGCACTGGTCCGGACCTGCAGGGAGCGAACCAGGAAAGCCAAGGCTGTGACTGAACTCCAACTAGCTATAAGTATCAAAGACAACAAAAAGTCCTTTTTTAGATATGTGGGGAGCTGGAGAAAAAGCAAGGGCAACATTGGACCCCTGTTAAATCAGATGGGACAACTGACAACCAACGCCCAGGAAAAAGCCAACCTACTAAATAGGTACTTTGTGTCAATCTTTCGTCAGTCCCATGGGACACCCCTGCCCATTATGGGATGGGGAGGCTCAGGTGAGGGAGATTCCTTGACTTCCATCAATGCTGACCTCATGAAGGAACACCTTGAGAGGCTGGACACCTTCAAGTCAGCTGGCCCTGACAGCTTACACCCCAGGGTACTCAAGGAGCTGGCTAGCATCATAGCTCAGCCTCTGGTATGGATCTTCAAAAACTCCTGGTGCTCAGGTGAAGTGCCCGAAGATTGGAAGAAGGCCAATGTGTGCCTATCTTCAAGAAAGGGAGGAAAGTGGATCTGGCAAACTGTAGGCCCATCAGCCTGACCTCTATGCCACGGAAGGTCTTAGAAAAGATTATCAAAGAGGACATTCTTAATGGACTGGCCGATGGCAACATCCTGAGGGATAGCCAGCATGGTTTTGTTGCGGGTAGGTCTTGCTTGACCAATCTTATTTCCTTTTACGACCAGGTGATCTGTCACCTGGACAAGGGAGAGGATATTGATGTTGTATATCTTGACTTCAAAAAAGACTTCAATCCGGTATGCTATGATCACCTCTTGGAAAAACTGGCCAACTGCGGCCTCAGGACCACCACAATCCGCTGGCTGGGGAATTGGCTCTGTGGTTGGACCCAGAGGGTGGTGGTTGACGGAAGTCAATCGTTGTGATGCCCTGTGACCAGTGGGGTTCCTCAAGGCTCTTTTCTTGGACCTATATGGTTCAACATCTTCATTAATGATGTGGATATTGGAGTCAGAAGCAGACTGGCCAACTTCGCCGATGATACCAAACTTTGGGGTAAAGCATCCACACCTGAGGACAGGAGGGCGATCCAGGCTGACCTTGACAGGTTCAGGAAATGGGCGGATGAGAACCTGATGGTGTTTAACACCGAAAAAGGCAAGGTTTTCCACCTTGGGAGGAAAAACCTGCAGCATGCTTATAGGCTCAGCAGTGCTACATCGGTTAGTACTACGGATGAAAGGGACTTGGGGGTCATGACTAACCACAAGATGAACGTGAGCCTTCAATGTGATACTGCAGTTTGTACAGCGAGCAAAACGCTGGCTTGCATCCATAGATGCTTCTTAATCAAATCCCAGGATGTCATTCTCCCATTGTACTCGGCCTTGGTGAGGAGTACTGCATCTAGTTTTGGGCCCCAGAATTCACAAATGGCGGGAACTCTTTGCAACGAGCATTTCTGTGCTGCAACAAAGAAATGCACCCTGCAAAGAAAGCTTCAAATCGGCGGGAAATTCTCCCTTGCACCGGGATTCTCTTTTGCAGCAGAAAACTCCACCGTGCAAGGAAGCTTGCAATTTAGCGGGGACAATTTAGCAGTGCCGAAGCACACACAAATAAAAATCACACCTTTTGGGTTGTGACAACCACAAGATGCACATGAGCCTTAAATGTGATACTGCAGCTTGTACAGCGAGCAAAAGGCTGGCTTGCATCCATAGATGCTTCTCAATCAAATCCTAGGATGTCATTCTCCCATTGTACCCGGCCTTGGTGAGGAGTACTCAGCTGGAGTACTGCATCCAGTTTTGGGCCCCACAATTCAAGAAGGATGTGAAGAAGCTTGAGAGAGTCCAGAGAAGAGCCATGTGCATGATCAGAGGTCAGGAAGACAGACCTTAAGATGACAGGCTGAGAGCTATAGGACTGTTTAGCCTGGAAAAGCACAGGCTCAGGGGAGATCTGATGGCCATCTATAAGGTTAGGAGGGGTGTTCACCAGTATCTGGTGGAACGTTTGTTCACCAGAGCGCCCCAAGGGATGGCAAGGTCGAATGGTTATAAACTCCTGCAAAACCATTTCAGGCTGGACATAAGGAAGAATTTCTTTCGTGTCTGAGCCCCCAAGGTCTGGAATAGCCTGCCATCAGAGGGGGTTCAAGCACCTACTTCGAATGCCTTCAAGATAAATTTTGGGTGTTTATCTTGCTGGGATCCTATGACCCCAGGTGACTTCCTGCCCCTGGGGCAGGGGGCTGGACTTGATGATCTTCTGAGGTCCCTTCTAGCCCTAATGGCTATGAAATCTATGAAATTTTCTGGGGATGACTTGAACCTATTAAGGGGTGGCTTGAATCTGAAAAGGTTGAGAACCACTGCTCTACAGTAACCTTGGAGTGGACAGGACCTAGTTAGTTTTAGGGTTGCTAAAACAGAGAACTGACAGCAGCTGAAATGGAATACAATAAGAATAAACTACCCACCCCATGTGTGGCAATTTTCTGATTGCCAAATAAATTTGCTGCATGTTGCTTAGACCAGAGGTACTTAGACCCTGGACCACAGGCCAGATCCAGCCCTTTGCACCATGTCATTTGGCCTGCTGGGCTCCTCATGGGTCTGAAAATTTGGTGGCAGGGGAGTGGTGGGACTGTCACCCTGCTGCCAAATTTCTGGACCTATGAGGAGCCCTGCGCCCTGAGCACTAGGACTGCAGACCAATGAGGGGCTTAATCCCTGATTGTGGGGGCAAGTGAGGTCAGCGACAGGCCGCAGGGCCTGATCCCAGTGCATGGGGCCCGATCCTGGCACGTGGGGCTGGGCTGGGGTGGTGGAGGCTTGACTTTGGCATGTGGGTCAGATGGGTGGGACTGTGGCACCAGGTCCCAGGACCTGATCCTGGTGTGTGGATCCAGTGTATGGCCTGATCCCAGAGTGCAGGGGCAGCCAAGGCTGTGCAAGGCCAAACAAAAGCAGCATGAGGCCTGATCATTTGGCTTACGGGGCAAAAGCTTGAGCACCACTGGCTTTGACTATAATGGCCTGTTTACCTCTAGCAATCACCTACTCCAAGATGGAAGCAGACAGAAACCACCTACACTGGTGTAATCTACAGTGAAGGAGTTTTACCCATAATTCCACACTAGATAAGGCAAAGAAGCCTCAATTCATGGGTTTCTTTTGTCTGTCCACTACTTTTTTACACTAGTGTAAATGCGGTATTTGTCAGGGTCCTGGGAAGCTCCTGGACTGTGAGAGCCGGACTGCACAACTCTTGTTCACGTTGGCAAATACTGAGAACCAGCAAAAAAGGCAGGATGTTGCGCATTGAGCACTTGTCAGTCTGCCCCTTCCTTATACAGGATTATAGGAAAGTAGGGCTGCTCAGAGCAGGATCATCCCTTACTAAACCATGTCTGTCCAACCTGTTCTTGAAAATGTCCAGTGTGGAGATTCCACAACTTCTCTAGGTATCCTGTTCCAAAGCTTGGCCATCCTCATAGTCAGAAATTTCCTCTTAATCTCCAACCTAAATTTCCTCTGCTGCAGTTTGAGTCCATTACTCCTAGCCCTGTCCCATATAGCCACAGAGAAAAGCCCATCTCCATCTTCTCCATAATTGCCCTTCAGGTATTTGAAGACTATTGTCAAATCCCCCCTCATTTTTCTCTTCTTCAGACTAAATAACCCTATCACTTTCAGCCTTCCTCATATGGCATGCTTTCCAGGACTCTAATCATTTTGTCTCTGTGCACTGAATTACCCAATCTATACAAATCCTTCCTGAAGTGTGGGGCTTGAAACTGGACACAGTACTCAGGTGAGTACATGGTCTTCCTGACTTTGCTGAGATCACTTGTGAAGGGAAACCTCACTGCTAGAAGCAGGAATAGCACAATCTGTCTCTGCAGGCACAAGAGACTAGTGAGGTGTGCACAGCTGTGGTGGACACTTACTTGCTGCAGCTGATGTTAGTGTTGTTTTCAACTGTTCCACTAATGTGGCAGAAGCTGTAGTCAGCGGAGACTTGTTTACTGGGGGACTCAATGCTGTTGAAGCTTGCGTCGTTGCTGCTGCTGTTGATCCCCGTGAAGATGCTGTGGAATAAATGTAGGGTTATTTTTATTAGCTCCTGCCCTTTCACTGATGTTCTTAGGCCTTTTGAGAATGATGGATAATTTGCTAGATGGAGCATTTAGTTAAACAGCCAAGAAAGCCACTTCTGGTCCTGCTAGAGGGAACAGAGGCCTATGGATCTACCTTAGCAGTCACTTCTAGGCAAGGCCAGCAATATTATGTGCTGAAGGTAGCATAGTGCTAAGCTGGCTGGCAAGAGTTCAATGTATTAGTTCAACATACTCGTTCTTACTTTCTCTCTCAATTTCTTTCTTGGCTAGTGATTCATTGGGGTGTGGTGGTGTCCCTAACGGTATTTAGAAACCCTGCAGGCACTTGCCTGGTGGGCCTTGCTCATACATTCAGGTTCAAACCAACTGCAAGTCTTGGGCTCAAGACAGAATTTTTTCCGTGAGTCAGATTGGCAAAGACTGTAGGGTAGGGCATGATTTCTGCCCCCCCCTCCCCCCTTCTTATGTAGCATGGGAAGGGTCCACTTCTATATTAATCTGGGTCTCTTTTACATAACAAATCCCATGCCCTTGCAGGGGGGGCCAGGGCAGTGATGACAGTCTTGTCTATCCTGAGCCCTTCCTATGATATGATGCACATGTGGGGGTGGGGGACTGAACTAAATATCCTAAGTTTGTTAGGGCACTTCGTGCTATGGTGTATGGGAGGGGCCAAGAGTGGAAGCTCTTGTGGACACTTGGGGCACTTTTACACATGCTCCAATGCATTCTTATTAGAACACATCAGAGCAGACTTGATTAATTTTGACTAATCAGAATGCTCCAGTGCACTGCAGCATCTTGTGTATTTAGCGTCCTCTCGTTTCAAAATGGTGGTTTTAGTGAAAGCCCCCTGTCATTTTGAAGTGCAGGACACTGAATACATAAGATGCTGTGGGCATTTTAATTAAGTGGCTTCTGAGAGCTGCTCTAATTAAAATGCACCCTTTCACCCCAGAGCTCGTGTATAGGTGTCCTTGGACAACTGCCTTACATGGTTGCGTGCAATGACAAGGGACTGGATTCAGTGACCCAAGTGGGTCTATTCAGTCCCATGTTTCAACACAGCATCACAACAGATTTCCTATGTTCTCTTAACTTGCAAAATAAAGAAGGAAAGCAGCTCTAATGTATTTCCTAATTGAAGCTCTTGTTCAGTAAAGTATTTAAACCAAAGGCTTAAAGTCTATCCTATTCAATAGAGCAGAGATACATAGGCTTAACTTCAGCCATGCAGCTTGAATGTTTTGCTAAACAGAGAAGAACTGCTGCTTCAGGGTTATACTGAAGGGTTCTTTCTCTCTGCATCAGCTACCACAGGATTGGTACCAGATTTTTGCAAACTTGAAGTCTCCCTCTGGAAGTAGGGTTTCTTTGGGGGTTTTGAGGGTTGTATATTGAATGGCTTTTTTCAAACTGAATGTACAGTGTGATTCCAGAAGAATCTACCCCAGTGAAAAGAGAGTGAACAAGCACATAGACCTGGAATAGAAGAATTCAGTTATGTTTACTCAATGGGTTTGGTATATTTGCAAATTGAAACTTGTTGACTTTCCTCTGACAGCCCATGTCTCCTATCTCCAGGTGCAGAGGTTTTCTTTACAGCCAACTCCAGTGGCTTTCTGCAGCAAGTTTCAGTAGAGCAGAAAGGCAGAAAAGAATAAATATAGTAAAGCATGTTTTCTTTTAAACTATTTTGTAATAGTTTTTGTTATTGCAATTTGAATTTTGTTTCCATGAAAACAGGCACATGAATGATCTACCAGCAGTGAATGGGCTAGTGAATTAAACCTAGGAGTGGCTGGCTGGGGACCTGCATTTCATCCTAGCTCTGGCACTAAACGAATACATGGTCTTGGGCAGCTCACTTAACTTCATCATCTCTTAGTTTTCTTCTCGGTGCTTCTACTCAAGGTATTTATTGCACAGCAGTGCAATCTACATGTGTGCATGCTTACTGCTCAGTAAATGACATTATTCGTGAGTAAATTTGCTACCTGCAAATGCAAGTAGCAAATTTACTTGTGAGTAGTTACTGCACACTAATGCACATGTAGATGCCAACCGGGAGCAATTTGCTTCCGGTCAGCCCTGCCACTAGGGGACCAGCCTGAGCTCAGCCCCAGGGCTCTGGGGCTGGGAGCCACTCCTGCCCCAGTGCTGGGCTGCCTCTATGGCAGCCCCCGCCTCAGGCCCTTAAAAACCTGAAGGCACAGTGAGCCCTGGGGCACATGCAGGCAGCCAGAGGCCACTCCAGGCACCTATGTCCCCTGCACAGGCTGCAGGCCAGCTGTGACCGTCTGCCTGCACCCTGGTGCTGCTGCCTGGCACCACAGTGCCATGTGGCTGCCAGGCCTATGCTGTCCAGGCCTGCAGGGTGCTGCAGGGCTCTGACAGGCCTGCCTGCTCCTACCAGGCCTGCCAGCACCTAGGCCCAGCTGCAGGCAGCTCCTGGCCACCAGGACCAGCTCCAGCTGCCTGCATCCCAGCCCCAGCAGCCTGCCTGGAGCCTGCAGGTGCTATGGGGCATTGACTTGCTGTGCAGCTGCCAGTCCCATGCCATGCCCCTGTGCTGGGTGCTGCAGGTAGCTTCCCAGCCCTGGCAGCACAGGGACAGCTGCATGGAGGCCTGGAGAGCCAACACGGGAGCCCCAATGGCCTTGTCATCACCTATGCCAGTGACCATGAACCAGTGTCCCAGCTGGTCTATGGAGGAGACTGGTGATCTTGTGATGCTGTAGGGTGAGGCAAAGGTGAGGCAGTTCATGCAGGGTGGGTGCTCCAATGCCCATGTGTAGGAGGGGCTATCAGGCTGGATGTGGGAGTGCTGGCACAACTGGTCAGCATGGCAGTGCTGCATAAAGGTCAAGGCCTTTGTGGGCACAATGGTTCACCATCACTGACCACAGTCGTCAGTCTGGGAGTACCCACAAGTCCATGCCCTTTATATGGCAACTGACAGAGATCCTCATGGCCCAGAACCCAGGCTGCAGCTGTGCTGTGTACAGCAGTATGGATGATCTGCTCAAGTCCCCACCCCAGCCTGGAACCCACAATGACGTGTCATCAGGGCTTCTCCCGGGAGAGGCCTGCTGCAGGGAGGGTGAAAGCATGGACAGCACCATGTCCCGGTCATCTAGGAGCTCCACACCCCACCAAGTCTGGGTGCTGTGGGCTTGGCAGCAGCACAGGAAAGCAGCTGGCCTGCAGAAGGAGAAGGGGGGCAGTGAGGTGTGAAGCCATGGCAGCAGGTGCTGCCAGGAGCCAGGCCTGTCCCACTGTGGCAATGGGGAAGTTGAAGCAAGCTGCCTGCAGCCAGCACCCAGTGGCCCACCTGCCCCAGGGGAGCAAATGGGGATGGGGGACTCAGCTGGGAGCCACCTGGGCTGGGGCATGCCTGGCTGACTTTTACCATGGTCCCTGGGCATCCATGCATACCCACCTCCTGATCTGAGGCCGGGTAGCGTACGGTCCCTGGTACTTATCTCAGCATCTTATCTCAGCAATGTTGCAAACTCTCATAAACAGCTTCTTTCTCATGGCTCTGCAGGTCCTGCAGCTGCATGCAGGGGAGAGGCCACAGTTGGCAGCTGGGATATGGGCTCAGGGTAGCCACCACCCACAACCATCACATGTGCCAAAAGTGGACCCAGGACCACACAGTCCTTCTGGATTGGCTGGTGATGGCATCAGAGGACTATTTGGCAGACACGTAGACCTGGCAGGCAGAGGATGTGGCTCACAAGGATGCATGGGATCAGACAGACTGTGAGTTCCAGGTGCAGCCCCTGGCCCTGAAGCACAAGTGGGTGGAGGCCCTGCAGGAGCAGACTGAGATCCTGGGCAGGGTAGTGCAGGCCATGGACGACAACTGCTGAGTGCTGGACATCATCCTGACCCTGGTGGTCGCCTTTGTGCCACCCGTTGCCCAGTCCCCAACCCTAGCCCTGCCTGCCCCCTGGCAGCTGCCCACCACCCAGCAACAGGCCTCCCTTGGGCCTGGGCAGAGGTCCAGCACCACCTCCACCAGCCAGAAGCCCCTGCTTCAGCCCCTGACCTGGGTTCTCTGCGATTCAACTGCCCTACCTAGGCCTAGGCCCACTGCTTTCCTCGGCTCCATGCAGGCATAGAGCTGAAGCTGCCTATTGTGGGGCCAGGACCACACACTGGCCCTGCTGCCTTGGACACTGACTGCCCAAGTGGGGGCTGCCTGCACCATGGGACCACCAGCTGCTGTAACCCCTGGGTGAGCCCTCCACCTGGCAGACTTGCCACGGTGTGTGCACCCACAGGGTAACAGCCAGAGACCAGGGTACTGGCTGCCTGCCCTTTAGCTTTACCCCCTAGATGCCCCCACCCCACAGCTCCCCACCCTAGGACAGCACACAAACCACAATGTAAATAGTGTGCACCGAGAAAAGGGTATTTTATTATTGGTAACTGGAGTGGGTGGTGGAGGGGCTCTGTTGTTGGGGAGAGGAGGGAGGGGGAAGGGGAGGGGGAGGAGGGGTCTGTTTGATGTAAGAGGAATAAAAACTATTGTTCTTCTGAGATGTGTCTGGGGTAAGCGTGGTGCTGGGAGTGGATGGGGGGTGTCTGTGGGTGGCTGTCCAGGTGGGCTACAGTGGGGATTGCAGGAAGAGGTGATTGGCCAGCGCCTCTCACACCTGATGCCTTGGCCCCTGGGGGCGGGTGTGTGGCTCACCCGAGGCCTTGGCAGGGGTGGGCCTGCTGCTCTCCCTGTTGCTGCCACCACAAGTGGTGCTCCAACTGCCAGGTATCCTCTGCCCACTGCACCTCCTCATAGTTTCATAGATGTTAGGGACTGGAAGAGACCTCACAGATCATTGGGTCCAGTCCCCTTCCACTTGGGAAGAAAGACTGCTGAGATCAGATGACCCCAGCAAGATGGGCGTCAAAACGCTTTTTGAAGATCGCCAGGGTGGGTGACTGTACCACCTCTGGGGGGAGCCTGTTCCAAAGCCTCGGCACTCAACTTGTAAAAAAGTTTTTCCTTATGTCTAGCCTGAAGCAATCTTCAGTCAGTTTGTGTCCGTTATTTCTTGTCCTCCCTTGGGGGTGGGTCTTGGTGAATAGATGCTCCCCCAGGCCCAGATGTACGCCCTTGATGTAGGCTGCCACTGTCATCTCAGTGTTGGCAGATGACAGAACAAGGAGCAATGGTCTCAAGTTGCAGCACGGGAAGTTTAGGTTGGATATTAGGAAGAATTTTCTCAGTAGGAGGGTGGTAAAACACTGGAACAGGTTACCCAGAGAGACTGTGGAATCTCCAAGTTTTCAAGACCCGGCTAGACAAAGCTTTGGCTGGAATGATCTAGTTGGGGATGGTGCTACTTTGAGCAGGGGGTTGGACTAGAAGACCTCCTGAGGTCCCTTTCAACCTTAACTTTCTATGATTCTGTTATTCTAAGCAATGAAACCAAACCTAGCACTCAATTGAAGCACCTGGGTGGGTCCAGGGGAAGGCAAGAAAAGGGATTACCACCAGCACCAGTCACACCCAGAGCAGCAACTGCAGCTCCATGGCTCACTCATTTACCTCAAGTTCTCACATGGATTGGGACCAACAGACTCCCACTTCTATCTCTTTGACCCAGTGATTTCTTTTATTCCTGGCTCCTTGGTGATCCACCTGAGGTGGTCTAGCTGGACCACAAGCCCATATATGCTTTGCTCCAAACCTAGGTCATAGCAGACATGCCTTGTCCTATCCTTCTACCATACACATCAAATGGCCTTTTCACCTGCCACTAAATGGCTTCTGTTTATTTGTTGCCTGGACGCAAGATCTGTGCCAGAACAGGCTGGGTGCAAAAAGGCTGCAACCCAGGCCATTAGAAAACAAGCCAGCCAGGATGCTCACAGATTCCCAGACACCTGACTTTACTGCACCCCTGCTCCATAAGTTTTGTTGAAATTCTGCACCATCCTGCAGGTCTATAGTGGCCCTCATGGGGTATCATGGCTCTTCTCACTTGTCAGATTTTACCTGCTGTGGTAGTCTTGCCTGTAGGGCTGTGTGGTGATTTAGAAGTGAGATCTGTAACATAAGCACAGTGACAATGAGGTTAAATTGAGGCCTTTGACTTGGTGATCCATGAGACTATCAAGGTAAAGCTAGGGGACTACGGACTCAACAATTCAATGGTCAGATGGGTGGGAAACTGGCTGTGGGGTCGGACCCAGAAAGTACTAATAGACGAATCTATGTTGACCTGGCAGAAGGTAGCCAGTGGGGTCCACGAGGGTTCAGTACTTGGAGCACTGCTTTTCAACATCTTCATCAATGATCAGGATGTGGGGGTGAAAAGCACACTGGTAAAGTTTGCCAATGACACTAAGCTGTGGGGAAGTGCAGCTACACATCAGGGTAGACTGATGATCTAGGAGGACCTAGACAGCTAACAGGTAGTTAGATGGGCAGACCAGAACCAGATGCTGTTTGACACAGAAGTGTAAGGTGTTCCATCTGGGGAGAAAAAATCCGCAACAAACTTACTGGCTCGGTGGTGCTATGCTAGCTAGCACTGCATTTGAAAGGGACCTGGGGGCCATAATTGACCATAAAATGAATAGGAGTCACCTGTGTGATGCTACAGTTAGCAGAGGAAACAATACACTGGCATGCATCAACCGATGCATTTCAAGCAAAACCAAGGAAGTTATTCTCCCACTGTACTCTGCATTGGTGAGGCCGCAGCTGAAGTTCTGCATCCAGTTCTGGGTACCGCACTTCAAGAAGGATGTGGAGAAGCTTGAGAGAGTTCAGAGAAGAGCCACTCATATGATTAGAGGCCTGAAGAGAAAGCCATACAAGGAAAGGCTGACAGGTATGGGACTATTCAGCCTAGAAAAGAGAAGACTGTGGGGGGATTTGGTGGCAGCTTACCAATATAACAGGGGAGAGTATCAGGGGCTAGGCAAACAACTATTTACCAAAGCGCCCCAAGGGAAAACCAGGAGCAATGGTCAGAAATTCCTAAAAGAAGGTTTCAGGCTGGATATAAGGAAAAATTTCTTCATGGTTCATGTGACCAGACTCTGGAATAGACTCTCGGGGCGGGGGGTGTACAGACACCTACCCTGGAGATCTTTAAAAGGAGACTGGGTGTACATCTTGCTGGGGTTATCTGACTCCAGCAGTCTTTCCTGCCCAGAGCAGGGGGGCTGGACCCAATGATCTCAAGAGGTCCCTTCCAGCCCTAAACTTCTGTGAATCTCACACACAGACATAACAGCAGCAGGTGCCAAGGTGGCTGGACTGGAGAGAAACCTTCATGCAGAGCAGGTCTGGGTGTTGTCGGGGCAGAGCCAGACCCTGGACAAGCATAAGGTCATGGACAAAGGGAGTTGGGAACCCAGAGATGCATGAAGGAAAGCTCATTATTAGAGAGTGCAGAATCTCTCTTAGAGACTAAAGGGACGAAAGGGGACTGGCAAGGCACCAGAAGTGCCACAAGAGAGCTGCTTTCCTAGTCTCGGACCTCCCTCACAACTTCCATCTGATCCCACAAGACTGCTGTGAGGCTCAGAATGGTGTTCCTTCCCTTACTAGCCAATCCAGCAGTGCCTTTCTTGGGCAGATAGACCGGAAAAAGGGAAGCCAGACTGGCATGATGCCTCCTCTATGAGATGTAAATGCCGTAGTCAAAATCAGATGGGAAATATAGGATCCTATATGGAAGACACAGCAACTGCTGAAGGCTGGAGGCCTTTGGGTGGTATTGTATCTGGGCTCTATCTCCAGTATTTTAAACCACCTGGAAAAAAGATTGGCATTGTAACCATAGTAAAGTGCTCACTGGGCTTTGATGTCAATGTGATAGCTGAAACAACATGACAAAAGTAGTGCACATACCACATCAGTAATGCTCCCACTAGTTTCATGAGTGTTTTCTGCTGATCATTTTGACTGGGTTCCCTTCTGCTCCCAGAGTGCTCCCCATTGCCTGGGTAGGTGTTTGCAGTTCCTGGCCCCTGTTTAAGTGCTGGGGAGACTACAGCAGGCTTGGGGTTGTATTGGGGAGACTACTGCAGGGTTGGGGTTGTATTGGGGCTAAGTCAATGGACCCCCAGCTTTCCATCTGACTGTTCTGCTTGGAAAATAGGAGAAGAATCAGCTCCCACATAAAGCCACTGCTATCTTTGATGTTTGGTATTTTTCTTCAAGCTGCAGCTGCTGGTATCCTGTGAATTTTAGCTTTCATTAAAAAAAATCTTCTCATAATAGCAGAAAAAGCTTGAAAAATGTAACCTAAGTGCACTCTAACAGTTCAGCTCTCACAAAATGCAGCATTCCAAGCAGCTCAGGAATTCTTTGTGCCTGTTTTTTTCTTAATGATCATTAATGGAGTAGGTGATACTGATTTAATATTTGCAACCAGTGCACTTAACATGCCAGGCCAACAACTCTGGGGATCTGCTCTTTCAAAAGACAACGCTTTGCTATCTAGATTCATCATTTCTGGTTAGAAATAGCATCAAGGGATGGAAAGGGAATCTGGGCCTAAAGCAACTGGTAGGAGTAGAGAACTGTTCCCACCCCAGCACAGAGTGGTCAACCCCACTATTGCTACTTCTCTGCTGTTCCTGCATCCTACCAAGGTTGTAGACAGAAGTGCAGCTCCCCCACTGTAACTCATGGCAGTTTGCAAGAAGTGCCATGAGTTACACCTATTCCCAGGACCCAAAAGACATTTGCTGTTGGGTTCTGAGGGTTGGGAGTTGAGCTGCAGTTTAGAGCGGCTGTGTCTTTGCAGCTGTTCTCCCCCAGCAATGCCCCTCTCAGTCCCTGCACTGTTTTCTGAATGGGAAGGGAGCAGAGGGAACTCGTTTTGGGGGTTGCCCAGCTGGAGCTGGAGGGTGGGGCGGGTGGACTGGAGCTCCACCGAGGTGAAGGGGCTCCAATCCACCCATCCCACGCTCCACTATTGGCTGGGCAACCCTCAGAATGAGCTCCTTCTGTTCTCTTCCCCCACCCTGGTCCCCTTCCAAAAACAGCTCAGGGAACAGGCTCAGCTGTGTCAGCCAAGCCCTGCTCCTAACCATACTGACAGGTGTCAGTGAAGGTGCTTTGCTTTGTATCACCTTCATCTGAACCCTCATATAATGATGGTTCAGATTGTCATGGGATTGGGCATTTTTAAAGTGCTCTGCAGCCGTGCACTTCTGTTAATGCACAACAGAAGAGTGCTTTCAGTGGCTGACCGCACAACAAACCGTCACGTCTGTCAGTGTCCCAAGTTCCTTTCAGTTTTTCCCTCTCCTAGAGGTGCATCACTCTCATTAGTAGTCACGCTTCCCTGTTATTGCTGGAAGGTTGGGTTTTGTGTGTGAAATTTTTAAAGGGCAGCAATGGAAAGTTGCTTGTTTCAAGGGGATAATCACTAACTTTGTTCTTGTGGCTTTGATAATGGATGGAGGATGCAGCCTTCCCCAGGGTAGGGGCAGAGAAGGTTCCTGAAGAGTCTGCATGGATTAAAGAAGATCTGTCTGGATTATAAAGATTTTTAGGCACCTAGTGGGATTTTCAAAGCATCTCTATACTTAAGGATACAGAGAGGTGATGAATGAGTGTCCAGGCACTGAAAGTTGTCTATACATGACCGATGTGCCCAGGTTCTTGAAAAACCTTCTAGGTGCCTATCTACACCTTTAGGTATGTAAATGACTTGAATTTTTGAGCCTGGTCCATAGTTCCTGGTTTCAAATGAGCCTATTGCCTGCAGTCAAGGATAGACATTCAGCAGAGCTCAGCATGCTAGGGGACACAGCAGGACCTGCTGCTTTGGAAGTCAGGCCCCCAAACCTGAAAACTAAGGGTCAGAATCTTTCTGATGATACATCCCATGAGCTGGCACCCAGGTAAGGTGAGTAGACATTATACAGGTACTGAGAGCCAGAGGGAACAGACAAGGGGTAGCTGCTCAACCTACATAGTCCTTTCCCAAATAGGGCTCCGAAGGGCTACACTCCTCCCATCCTTCCCCTTCCCTGTCCTTGTGGGGTTAGTGCAGAGTCAACTCCTCACTTGTGCAGGGTAGTAATAGGACAAGGGACTCTTCATGGAAACCTTTGGGCAGCCACTTCCCCAGGGGTCCATTTCCCTGCTATTCTCTACAACTGGTGAGAGTGCTTGGGGAAGGCTCCATGTTTCTTACCTGCTGGTGGCTGTGTAGCTGAGGGCTGAGCTGTGTTCACATCTGAAAGACAAAAAGGCAACCATGAATTAAACTAGGCTTGGTTTTGCCCTTAGATGGCAGAGAGAGAGATCCTTTTGGCAGAGCCCATTGAGTGTTTTATCCAGAAGGTCTCTACAAATCCTTCCCCACTTGAGAGATGCGTGCATGTGTATGTGTGTAGTCTCTCTCTGCTTCAGCAAAAGGACTTCTCAGCCTGCAAAGAGTTTTGTGAGTCAGGTTTGGAAGAGCTGGAACAGCAAGATGCAGCTCACCTCTTCCTGTTTCCCACTGTACACAGCCCCTCCTACTGGGTTCCTGCTCCAAGAGCCATGTTAGTTCCTGGCAAAATTCCCAAGGAATTTCTGCTACTGAAATAGACTGCTGACAGCCAGCCTCTGTTCTGCCACAACGTGGCCCTTTCCCTATAGTTACCTTGCCTTAATTGAAGTTTCAGTATTGAGCACCACCATCACCCTATCCCTCATGTTCTACTAAAGAGCAGAACACTCACCAGCTTAAGCATCAGAGGCAGGAGTAGAAAACCCTGCCTTCCATTTTCTTTCTATAGTCGTCCAGTGCTTTACAACAGAGAAGTGTGTGTGTGTGTTGTGGGGGTGGAATAGCCAAACCAGTGATGAATCCTGCCAAAGAAGCAGTCAGTAGGTGGCATACAATTCACAGGCCCAACCAGTCCTACATGCAGCTGTGTCATTTCATGGAACTAGAAACTGGCTCAAGCCAGACAGGCATTCGCACCTGCTATTTACCCCTACTGTCCGTGCTTCAATGGGGAGCTCAGAATTACTTTGTAGGTGCCAACATCAGTCCCATCCCTGTATGCAGTAGGTTAAATTCTGTCTTTGCTAATGGCTGTGCAATCCCATAGGGTTATTATCAAGTGTGTGGACATGCCAATAGACACCCACAGAAAGTAACCTAATGTAAGTATAAAAGTAACTATGATTTGCATGCACACCCCCCCCCCTCCATATATAGATATAGGTAGATATCTATCTATGCCAGTGCTATTTGTCTCTCAGGCACCTTCGGTCCCCCCCCGCACACATGTAGAAAGAGAAAGAGAAACAGAATGGAAACTTGTGTTGTGTGTGTGTCGTCCCCCCCCCCTCACTCACACACACACACACACACACACAGTGGAGAAAGCGAGAAGTTTTCCTGATGGACTAAAGAGAAGGGAAAATAAAAGGACTGCTAACCCCTTAAAATACAGGCATTTTTCAGTCCTCCAGCCAAATGAAGGGACATACACTGCCTGCTGCCTACAAAGGGTTAAGCATCCTTGGGACTTAAAATAAGTTACAGAATGAGAGCTTTGGGCCTCTCCTCCTCCTCCCCTGATGACGTGGCTGAAAGCCAGAGAGCAGCCTGACAAATGGGCAGCTGACACACAGCTCTTAGGGGTGCCCCTCCACAAACCACATTACTGGCAGCGTTCCAGGTGCTTACTGCCACATGAAGTGTAGCAACTTGAGAGCATAGACAGGGTGCAGGTTTGGTGATGTGGATACCTGTGTGACCTCCCGTGATGCTCCTAAGATGTGAGTTTGTTAATAATAACAATAATAGATAGCCCTAAAGTAGTTCCTTCCTTGGGCTTTTCCTTTTCAGTATCTGTCTTAGGTATTTTTGGTTTCAAGTCTCAGATCCTGGAGATAAGGGATGAGAGGAGAACTCTGTCTTTCAGTTCAGAAAAAGTAAGTTTCTAGTCCTTGTGGAGAAAAGCATGGAAATATACCCTAAGCGTAGTGCAAAGGGTCAGGAAGGAGAAGACCAGTAAAAGACCCCCAAATTATTAACATTTAAATCTCCTGCTTTTTAAGTGAGCTCATGATTTTGGAAGGGCAAGGCTCATGATTTTTGAACAGTTAGGGTTTGAGATATTGGGACAGCTTTACTTCTGTGCTTTGTGCAGTGTTGGACATGCTGGGTAAAGCTTTCAGAAGAACCTAGGAGATTTGGAAGCCTAAGTCCCAAAACTGATGGGACTTAGATTCCTAAGTGCTGAATTTTTTTTAAGTATTTGTGTGCCTAACTCCCATTGAAATCAAAATAAGTGGGGTACCTAAATACCATATCCAGCCTCATGTGCTGAAGTCATAAGTTCCTAAATTACTTAGGCACTTTTGAAAATAGGAAAGTCATAAGTTCCTAAATTACTTAGGCACTTGAGAAAATAGGCCCTGCCATTTCCCCATAATAAGTAACACTGACAGCATACTTCATACAGGCCACCAAGCAGTCAGCACACAGTAATGACTTGAACGCAAGGCAAAATGTTCTATCTTCCATTACCCGCTCCCACAGCCCGAGGCTTGAACCACTAGAATCTTGTCACCCATATCAAGGTAATATCACTTCTCTCCAAGCTAAAATGCACACTCGCTGGTGTGGCATGTGTAGCCTTTGTGGGAGCTGCGTTTTGTTAGTAAACAGGACACAGAAGTGTGTTGTCCTGCCCATTGTGGAGGGGCTTAGGTGCCCATCCCAGAGGCCATAGATTTTTCTGTTATAATCTGTAGGTACTTCACTATTTATTCTTATTCTGCCCCATTCCACTGGTGCAAATGTCACTACTGACAAGTTAGCAAAACTTTTGTGCAGGAATATGGGCTTGACTGTGATCCCACTTTTACTGGTGCCTATCAGGAGTAACTGCTGAAGTGCAGACACACTGGTTTAAAAACTGCTGCAAGGGAGGATAGAACCAGTTCTGTATATTTTGCATGAAATGTATATGGTGGGATTCTCCTTTAGCTTACACTGCCTTTATTAGAGGAAACTCCATTGCCAACAGGGGAGCTAGTATTATAACTGGAAGAGAATCCAGCCCACTGAGCTTTCACTCTGCCATGAATCCCCTTATTCAGTCAGTTAATCAGGTAATATTATGTTGCAGTAACATGTAACTTGGATGCAAAGAGAGAAAACAGTATTAGAAATAAGTTAGCTCTGGTGCTGGATGAGCTTTGTGTTGCTTGTGAACGGAGGCAAAGGGCCTTGTTACATCTTATGCTGTAAGCTGCACAAATATTAATCAGATTAGTGTTGATTGGTTTAGTGGAGCAGTCACACTTTAAGATGAAAAACCATCTCTGACTGCCCTTCACCTGCACAGCTGTGACTTGCCACTAGAGGCTTGGTGTGTAGGACTGGGAGCTGCACATAGCCCCAGGTGGTGGTGATACGCCATCATGTTCCCATAATGTTCTTTGTGGGTTTTTTTGATTAAAAACTCTTTGAGCCTCCTAAATATAAGCCCCTTTCAATATGAGGGGGTAAAAGGGTTGGGGCACCTGTGGCTGTGGGGGTGGGGGGTGTCACTGGCCAGGAGGCACTGTGACTGCTGGGCGTGCCAGAACTGCAGTGTTTGCTCTGCCTGGCCAAAGCAACAAGCTGGTTCATGTGGTGGTCTCCTTGGTACATTGGGCAGAGTGAATGCCACAGCAGAGTGAATCCTCCCACCCCCACCCAATCTGTTTGCTGCTCCCGCCGGGCAAAGCAAACACTGCAGCCCTGGACCACCCTGGGATACTGGAAGACTTCAGTTTGGGCAGAATGGCTGGGTGAGTGGCCACACCTTAATGAAACAGAAGCAAAGTTATGCGAATTAGAGATAATCCTGTCCTGAAGTAGCATAATTTTGAACCAAATAACAAGTACTTTAAAACACATAAAGGTGTAAGCATGCAGCCAATCCAGGGGTTAAGAGATCCAGAAGCCACCTAAAATTACTGTGTAACAAGGCCCTAAGAGTTAAACAACTGGATTAGACAAGGCCTTACTTTAAAACATTTTTCTGTTTGCACTTGCTTAGATAAAGAGTTTTAAAAGATAAAGCAGAGACCATATGCCAAGCTGTCTGGTAGGTGGAGATGTTTGCTCTGGGGTCATGTAAAAGGCCATTTTCTTACTAGACTTGTGCAGAGAAGAAAATGCTCTGGTCTGCATGTGAGGGATAACATTGCCTTAGTGCTGGAAAAAGGGGACAGCCCAGAGACTCAAGGATATTGATTCCACTTCCACTTTTTGGTTGTGTATTATCCACCTAATGCAATCAGTCAGCAGTTGTTTCCCTAACTGCAGTTAAATGTGTAGGGTGTCAGGTGGAGAGTTAGGAAACCTGGCTTCATTCCTGCCAGCAACTCACTGTGTTAACTTGGCCAAGTCATTTTAACTCTTTCTAACACCATCTGCCCATAGGGATTGTGACACATCCACTCCTGGAAAATACTTTGGGATCTATGAATGGAAACTGCTAGAGAAAAGCTAAGGCTTGGTATGTTGCAACAGATGTTTGCCATAGAATAAAACTGTTAGTACTTTATGTTAAGTAGTGAATTGTTAACTGGGTATCTTTACATGAGTGACTGGTGCCTCCTGAATCCCGGGGTGGGGGGCACTTGCAGAAGCCACCGATGGCGGCGGCTCTGTCAGGGGGGGCACCAGCCCTACTGACAGCATCAGTGTCGACCGTCAGAGGGGGCACTGACCCCATCGTGGGGACATGTGCACAACCTACCAGTCACCTATGCATCTTTATTAACCCTTTTGGCTTACTGCAAGATTCTTTGTGCAGTTCATGCTACGTGTGTGTGCCTGTGTGGTCATACCTGGTGTATGCATGTGGGGTGGGGAAATGAATCAATGACAGCTATTTTAGTTGGTAACAACACAAACAAAACAATAACCACTGAGATTCATGCGAAACACATGAAAGAAGCAGTGTAATGTTATTGTTGTTTTAACTGCCTTGACTTCCTCTGTCCTGCACATACATATTACTTCATGCCAGACTATATCTATATTAGGATGCACAATTATAGAAGTAAGAATGCATTTATTTGTCTCTGAAGCAATGTGCTACATTAAAAATTTGAACAATGAATGGAGGAGGAAGAATGGGTGTTTGAAGCCTGTTTCCTACAAAGGATGAAAAACAAGAAGTATGGGGAGGAAAAGCTGCCTTTAAGCTGCCTTATGTCAGCCAGAATTGGCTG